GCTCGCTCGAGGGCCGGGACCTGAGGACGTAGAGTGCTTGCATCTAACCGCCTTGCAGGGACATACAGTCACCAAGACTCAAGACCAGGCGCAACCCGCCTTGAGGTAGGGCCTCGTGAGTCCCGCGCTGGCTTATGAGTGCCCAGATACACCTCGCAGCCCTGCCGTGCAAGCCACGTGTCAGGGCGGGGCTGTACACGCCCCGGGGGCTCCTCCCGGAGGGGGGCCCCCATCCCACGCCCAAGTGGAAGCTCCATGCTCCGTGCTGGCTGTCGACACTGCCGAGGAGCGGCTATGCCCGTGCACAAGCGGAAGCACTATACTCCACGCTGGTGATAAACAACTGAGGGTGACCCCACGACCATACCAACCTCAGGGAGCCCAGAGCTCTGCGCCCAGCCTCACCACGACGCCTCCCCTCGGGAGAGTCACGCAAGGGGCTGGGCACGGGGGCTGCGCTCGGGTCACGCCCAAGCGCACGCCACCCAACCAGGTCCCCCGGACCTGGGCGTCGTGCTCCCCTCCCAAGGCCTCGGCGAGGGCAGGTATGGAAATTGTTTGAACGTCAAGGGGGACTCCTGAGCATCGCGACTCAGGAGCCTAACTGGCCACGTAGCCCCTCACTCCTAGGTCTGTCCTGGTCTCCGGTCGGCTCAATGGCGGTTGAGGTATGCGCGGGGCCGGGCTCTGCCGACGTAGAACATTAATCTATCCTCACGAACTCTCCCTATATGTTGTTCGCACATCAAGGGGGACTCCTGAGCATCGCGACTCAGGAGCCTAACTGATCACGTAGCCCCTCACTCCTTGGACCGTCCTGGTCTCCGGTCGGCCCAATGGCAGTTGAGGTATGCGCGGGGCCGGGCTCTGCCGACGCAGAACAAAGCAAATAGGAAGGAAAACGCAAAATCTCGAAGCAAATATTACAAGCATATTGTTCTCACAATACCAAATGAAAAGTCTAAACGCCTCCACGATTCCTGATGTATGTCGCAGGAATGAAACGAGAAGAATAGCCGCAGGTCACCCCTGGATGTCGCCATCGCCTGCGGAAGGTGATCCCCCGTGGATGACGATGTTCTCACCTTCACCACCAGCCGCAGGATCCGCGGCATCGCCAGACATAGGATCGGAGACAAAGCCGTGAAACTTCCCCAGCAAGCCTCCACTTGACCTTGAACAGCTGTGGCGGCGGCTTCGCAGAGATCTTCAGCCACAGGCTCCAGCAGCTCGTCAAAGTGGGCATTGGGGTCGCGGAGGTGCGGATGGCTGAGGACGCGAGTCAGTGCGGCTGAAGACAGAACGTGAGCTTCTGCCTCCGCCATGGGATCGAGGCCCTCAACGACCTCCTCAAGCGCCTTCACCATGAGAGGAAGCAGCTGGGCGGGGCCATCCTCGTCAGTGTCCAGCGGCTTCTCCAGGCCATGCTCGTAGAGCATCCTCAGCGCCTTGCGAGATCTCTTCTCGAGATCGGCAAAGGCCACACGGTCTTCGGCCAGGACTCGCGCCTTGGCATTAAGATTGGCCTCCCTCGCCCCCATCTTCTGCTCCAACTCTTTCAACTGGTTGCGCTCGGCAGCCTGCTTCTTCCCCAGCTCTGCCAGCTCAGCATCACGGTTCTTGACGGCTTCCTCCCGGGCCTTCATCTCCTTCTCCCCTACTTGGCGGCGGCGTACCTCTTCGGCGTGCTTGTCGCGCAGGCTCTGCAACTTGCCCTCTAGCGCTTGGCAGCGGTCACGAGCGGCCTTGGCGTCTTTCAGCGCCGCCTCACGATCAGCTGCAGTGCCAACGACTCCTTGCTTCTCCCTCTCGGAAGCCGCAACAGCCTAGCCCAGTGTCGCGCGTACCGCCAGGTCAAAATGAAACCAGCCGGAGGCCAACTCAAGACGCCCGGCCACCAGGCGCGGGTCAGCGCTCAGGAGATCCGCCTGCAGTTGGGTCATCTCTGAAAGGGCATGCTCCAAGAAGGCACCAGGAGCAGAAGGACCAGGAAGTGGAGATGCAGCAGTAGGAGGAAGCGACATCATCACCAGGGCTTGGGAGACCGCGGGTTCCGGAGCAGCTGGGAGCCGCGCCAAGTATCGGCACCTCCGGAGCCAGCGGAGCCATGGGGGCTGACTCCACACGGTGATACTCCTCTTGGCCCCGCGAGGACGACTGGGCTAGGGAGACACGGGCGATGTTGCCTCCTTGCTCCGCGGAGGAAGGCACAGCCGTCGTACCCTCCTTCCTCTTCTTCGCCGAAGACGTCGGCCTTATCAACCAAAGGCGAGCGTCAGGAAATAACAAGTACTAGCAGGGACAAAGCGAAGTTCGAGACACCTACCGGTCCACCGCGAGGTACTCCACCTTTCGCTTGTGAAGCTTGAGGCCTGACAGCATCGGGGCCTGAGGGGCAGGCGTTCGGGCTCCGGCGGCTCCATGCGGTGCGGAGGCAGAACCGGATCCAGCCCCAGGAGGTGTTGGGGTGGAGGGGGCATCACGGTCCACCAGCGACGACCTACCCTTCATCGGGACGAGGGGTTGCTCCTTCCCTCCTTGGTAGGCGTCGGCCTCAGCATCATCAGGAAGGGCGCGGAGAATCTCGGCCTTGCTCGAAGGGGAGGTCTCCCCCACCTCTTCCGGGGTCTCCTCCGAGTCCGCCTCCTCTTCCCCCTCTCCGCGGGGCTCGCCAAAAGACACCTCCACTGGTTTTTGCGCCGTAGGAGCTCCCGAAAACACCGGCAGCACCAGCCCGCGCGCATCAAAAGTCGGCCTGGAGGCGACGAATTCCTCCCGGTCCCTGCGTTGAAACAGGGGAATGAAGGCGCTAGGCGGGTACTCCTGGTTGTCTCTGACTATGAGACGCATGACGGCGTCCAGTTCGTCATCAGGCAGATCCCCCAGCCTCAGGCGGGCCTTGTTTTCCCTCCTTCAAGCTCCCAGAAGGGGCGCGCGCGCCTGGAGCGGGGCAACCCGCAGCGTCAAGAACTCCCTCAGGAGCATCGCTCCCGTTATTTTGGCCGCCCTCGCATTGCCCGGCTTCAGGTCAGTCATCATCTGCCCCAACACTGACGATGCCCGCTTGTCGACAAGCTCCACCATGGGCCACTCCTTGCCTTGCCGGGGCACCTCCGTCGGCAACACCAGGCGTGGATGGGCGAGCTTGGCGTCCACCATGACCCATTTGGATCGAATGTTGTCGGCCCTCTTCCCAGTGCTCGAGATCAAGTTGGCCTTGCCAGACGCAACAAAGTTGGCGCATCCAGTGATGTGACCCTCGCTGACGCGGAGGAATAAGAAATGGCGCAGGAGCGCCACGGACGGCATCACGGCCAGGTACGCCTCACAGTAGTAGGCAAAGATGGACAGGAGGAGGACATAGTTGGGATGGAGATGCAACGCCTGCAGCCCATAGTGGTCGAGGACTTCATAAAAGAAATCAGAGAAGGGGGGAACCAACCCGACGGCAACGCTTCTCGAAAAGAAGGGAAAGAAGGTGCTCCCCTTAGGCTCCGGCTCGTCGGAGGCAAGCCGGAGCTCCGTCTTCCCCCACACGTTGCTCTCTCCCGCCGTCAGCAGGCGCACGAAGGCAAGGCTCTTCTCCGTGACAGTGGGCGCCTCAAGAGCGGGCTCGTACCAAGCCGGGGCCGAGGAAGTCTTGACCTTGCGCGGCGCCATGGGCGGCAGATGCAGAGCAAGGCCGGAGCAGATCTGTAGGTAGCGGCGGTGAAGAGCAAGAAAGGGGATCTAGAGGGAGGCAAGGAAGAAGCAATGAAGGCAAGTGTCGCTCGCGCCAGTCTTTTGTTAGGTCAAGCAGTTGCCGAGGCAGCATGGGGAAGCGGAGACGCCCATGGCCTATCAACCGCCACGCGTCAACCGAGGCCGCAGGCTTTTGGGGCCCGCGATGCTCCGAACATGACCCTTGGCTTCGCCACGAAGCCAAGGCCGCGCGCACCTTAGACCCGGAGGCTACTGTCGGCGTTCTGGGAACGGGGGTCCCCAGACTTGTCTGTCTGCGGCCCGCGGCATGACGGAGCCAGCAGGCCGTACGACTCATCTTCACCAACAAAGCATCCAAGACCCTCGCGAGGGTCCAAGCCTCGCGAGGAGGATGACGCACGACCTCCTCCCGAGCGGCCTAGTCAGGCAGGCTCGCGAGGGGCCGAGATATCAAGGCGAGGCGAACCTCACGAGGCTCTCGTGACGTGAGCCATGACGATCGGCACCAGGCGGGCGCCAGCGCACGCAGCGTCCTTTTTTCCTCTTTGGTGCAAAGGGGGGCAAGCGCAGCCGCGGAGTACCAAGGCATCAGGCAAATGTTGTCATTTCGGTACAACAAGACCAGGACCATGGACTGCAAGACGGAGGTCATCGTGGAGCCCAAGACGGTGTCACCACCAGAGCTTTGTGCAGGCGAAGACCGCTTTTGTCAGGGCAACTTGTACTAGCTGTCCCCTTTCAAATTAGCCCGCCATTGTTGGCTCCCTTGCCGCTCGATATTTGGGAAGAGGATCAGGGCCTCTATAAATAGGACTAACCACCACAGTGGATAGAGAGAGTATCTTAGCCAGAGAGAACCCACACACCACAAGTTCATACGCACAAGAACACCTCAACCTCAGGAGGTTGTTCTTCCCTTGTATTGTTCATCATCAACCCAAGAGGTAATCCACCACCACCACACTGGAGTAGGGTATTACACTACAACGGTGACCCGAACCAGTATAAACCCCATGTCTTTCTGTGTTGAGAGTTCGTTGAGTTCATCCGCAAGATCTAGTGAGTTAAAGCGTAGATTGGTAGAAGGAAAAGACTTCGCGCGCACTCCAGTGTTCAAACCTTAAGGGTTTGTTGGAACCCCACATCCGATAATATCGAAGTGATAGGAAGTAGGAACTCTTCCACTAAAGAAACAGAGTAGGAACTCTCGGATGGAAGCCCGAAATTATTCATTGCAATGCAGTATCACCGTAAAACAGAAGAACGTGACAGGTCGATCAGCCTCAGCGACCCACGACCTAGCACGCCGGCAACGGGGTCCCGCACAGGCACTTGTTGTGCTCGTAGGCCTCCGGCTTGAACCGACCCATGTTCCCGCCGGTCGGTATCTCCCCGCAGAGCTGGTTGTAGCTGAGGTCGAGCGTGGTCAACTTCTTCAACTGCGTCAGCGACGCCGGCACGCCGCCGTAGATCCGGTTGCGGCTCATGTTGAGGAACAGCAGGTTCTCTGGCATCTCCACGCCGGTCAGGTTGAACCGCAGCCTGTTCCCGGACAGGTCGACGTCGTACACCGTGTTCCGCCGGCCGAACAGGAACGCCGCGTCCCCCGTTAGCCTGTTGTTGGCCACCCGGAAGTTCATGAAGTACCTCTCGCGCCCGTACATCCGGGGGATCGGCCCCGTTAGCCGGTTGTTCGTCAGCGTCAGGCCCAGGAGCCTGTCGGGCGCGCCGTTGCTCACCAGCCCCGGCGGGATCCGGCCGACGAGGCGGTTGTTCGAGGCGTCGAAGTAGGTCAGGTAAGGCAGGTCCTGGAGCGACCTGGGGATCCTTCCGGTCAGCTTGTTGCTGAAGAAGCTGACGGAGGTGAGGTTTGTGCGGGAGAGCGACGCCGGCAGGGAGCCCGAGACGGAGGTGCGCATGATGTTGAAGATGGAGAGGTGCGAGAGCTTGCGAATGTGTCCGGGATGGGGCCATCGAGGCCCGGGATGCTGTGGATGCTGATGGTGTGGAGCTGGTCGAGGTCGCCGATGGCCGGTGGGATCGTGGAGGTGATGTTGACGAAGATGGCGACGACGCGGCGGTGCTGGTTGCAGTAGGCGTACGGCCAGTTGCACTGGTCGGTGCCGGGCAGCAAAGACACCAGTGCGGCCTGGTCGCCGAACTGCTCCTTGATCTTGAGGAGGGTCCGGAGGTCCGGGTCGTCGCCGGGCTGCTGAGAGAATGACGCGGTGAGCTGGAGAGACAGCATGAGGAGAAGTGCAACGTGGTTGGCCATCTTGAGTTCTTGACCGATGGAACTGCTACGAGTGAGTAACAGAGAATGTTGATCAGCTATTTGTAGGAGTGCAAGTCAGCTGGATGATCTCTGCCAAAATAAGTCAACTAGATTGATGTGATCATGAAGGCAGCCAAAGCGTGGTCAAAGTTTTTGTGAGTGGCTTGGTGCACTTGCAAGGGAGAGGAACGTGCGGTTTCTTGCCAAGCACTTGATAGACATTGAACGGTACTTATTCTCCGAGTCTATCTACATCGACTAATCTCGAACTAGGTTTTCATCCCGCTCTATAGATAAAACAAACATCCATACAACCAAGTAGCATCTAAGATACATCACAATCATACCTAAGAAAGAGAAAAGAAACACAAAAAAGCCACCTAGTGGCAAACTACGAAGCGGTCCTATGAAGCGGACAGACGGCGCGCGGAAACTAGAAGCGCATCCAACATAAGCCTAAGGCGGTCACGATCCCGCTGCCTAGCAAGCGGGTGGCATAGCTGCAAGAAGGCAAGAAATTTGCAGAACGAGTCGGAAGTCTGCCTCGGGAAGATCCGCTCAACCACCATTTTATTACGAGTCATCCAAAGGGTCCATGGCATCACCGTAAAGATAAGTCAGAATAGGCGGCGTTTGCGGCCGACCTGAGTCGCTCTGGTCTACAGGAACTCTGGAAGGTTCCCTGCCTCCCAATCAGGCCCTAGTACCTCGCGGACGAAGCTCCAAAGGGCCCGCGCTGCTATGCACGAGAACATGATGTGGCACTGGTGGAATTTCCATACACGCCGGGAGACAAATCACGGTCACTCGGTAAAGTAACAGACGCCGGGTGCTATAGGCCCTACGACGGGTGGCCTTTGCCGAGTGCAACGCTCGGTAAAGCCTTTGCCGAGGGTTTTAGGCCCTTTTGCCGAGTGTTCCTGGAGCTCAGCGTAGGTGGCAATTCCAATAGTGTGGGTTCCCGTCTCCGGAACATTACATAGAGGACACAAGCCATAGGCCAGGCCGTGACACTTAAGAACCTCTGTCCCAGAGGGCAAGCAGTCACGTAGAAACTGTCATACGAATATCTTGATGTTTAGGGGCACGGGTGTTGGGGAACGTAGTAATTTCAAAAAATTTCCTACGCACACGCAAAATCATGGTGATGCATAGCAACGAGAGGGGAGAGTGTTGTCCACATACCCTCGTAGACCGAAAGCGGAAGCGTTAGCACAACGCGGTTGATGTAGTCGTACGTCGCTCAAGTACCGAACGCACGGCACCTCCGAGTTCAGCACACGTTCAGCCCGATGACGTCCCTCTAACTCCGATACAGCCTAGTGTTGAGGGAGAGTTTCGTCAGCATGACGGCGTGGTAACGATGTTGATGTTCTACCGACGCAGGGCTTCGCCTCAGAGACGCTACAGTATTATCGAGGTGGACTATGGTGGAGGGGCGCACCGCACACGGCTAAGAGACGATCAACTTGATCAACTTGTGTGTCTAGAGGTGCCCCCCTGCCCTTGTATATAAAGGAGCAAGGGGGAGGCGGCCGGCCTAGGAGGAGAGCGCGCCAAGGGGGGAGTCCTACTCCTACCGGGAGTAGGACTCCTCCTGTCCTTGTTGAAGTAGGAGAGAAGGAAAGAGGAGAAGAGGGAGAAGGAAAAGGGGGCTGCACCCCTTGTCCAATTCGGACCAGAGGGGGGGCGCAGGCCTCCTTCCTTTTGGCCTCTCTCCTCTATTTCCGTATGGCCCAATAAGGCCCGTATACTCCCCGGCGAATTCCCGTAACTCTCCGATACTCCAAAAAATACCCGAATCACTCGGAACCTTTCCGAAGTCCGAATATAGTCGTCCAATATATCGATCTTTATGTCTTGACCATTTCGAGACTCCTCGTCATGTCCCCGATCTCATCCGGGACTCCGAACTCCTTCGGTACATCAAAACATATAAACTCATAATATAACTGTCATCATAGTGTTAAGCGTGCGGACCCTACGGGTTCGAGAACTATGTAGACATGACCGAGACACGTTTCCGGTCAATAACCAATAGCGCAACCTGAATGCTCATATTGGCTCCCACATATTCTATGAAGATCTTTATTGGTCAGACCGCATAACAACATACGTTGTTCCCTTTGTCATCGGTATGTTACTTGCCCGAGATTCGATCGTCGGCATCTCAATACCTAGTTCAATCTCGTTACCAGCAAGTCTCTTTACTCGTTCCGTAATACATCATCTCACAACTAACTTATTGGTTGCAATGCTTGCAAGGCTTAGGTGATGTGCATTACCGAGAGGGCCCAGAGATACCTCTCCGACAATCGGAGTGACAAATCCTAATCTCGAAATACGCCAACCCAACAAGTACCTTCAGAGACACCTGTAGAGCACCTTTATAATCACCCAATTACGTTGTGACGTTTGGTAGCACACAAAGTGTTCCTCCGGTAAATGGGAGTTGCATAATCTCATAGTCATAGGAACATGTATAAGTCATGAAGAAAGCAATAGTAACATACTAAACGATCGAGTGCTAAGCTAACGGAATGGGTCAAGTCAATCACATCATTCTCCTAATGATGTGATCCCATTAATCAAATGACAACTCATGTCTATGGTTAGGAAACATAACCATCTTTGATCAACGAGCTAGTCAAGTAGAGGCATACTAGTGACACTCTTTGTCTATGTATTCACACATGTATTATGTTTCCGGTTAATACAATTCTAGCATGAATAATAAACATTTATCATGATATAAGGAAATAAATAATAACTTTATTATTGCCTCTAGGGCATATTTCCTTCAGTCTCCCACTTGCACTAGAGTCAATAATCTAGTTCACATCGCCATGTGATTTAATACCAATAGTTCACATCATCATGTGATTAACACCCATAGTTCACATCGACATGTGACCAATACCCAAAGGGTTTACTAGAGTCAATAATCTAGTTCACATTGCTTACCCAAAGAGTACTAAGGTGTGATCATGTTTTGCTTGTGAGAGAAGTTTAGTCAACGGGTCTGCCACATTCAGACCGTACGTATTTTGCAAATTTCTATGTCAACAATGCTCTGCACGGAACTACTCTAGATAATTGCTCCCACTTTCAATATTTGTCCAGATTGAGACCTAGAGTCATCTGGATCAGTGTCAAAACTTGCATCGACGTAACCCTTTACGACGAACCTTTTGTCACCTCCATAATCGCGAAACATATCCTTATTCCACTAAGGATAATTTTTGACCAATGTCCAGTGATCTACTCCTAGATCACTATTGTACTCCCTTGCCAAACTCAGGGCAGGGTATACAATAGGTCTGGTACACAGCATGGCATACTTTATAGAACCTATGGCTGAGGCATAGGGAATGACTTTCATTCTCTCTCTATCTTCTACCGTGGTCAGGTTTTGAGTCTTACTCAACTTCACACCTTATAACATAGGGAAGAACTCCTTTTTGATTGTTTCATTCTGAACTACTTCAACATCTTGTCAAGGTATGTACTCATTGAAAAAACTTATCAAGCGTCTCTTGATGCTCAATATGTAAGCAACTTCACCAAGGTCTTTCTTTGAAAAACTCCTTTCAGACATTCCTTTATGCTTTGTAGAATAATTCTACATTATCTTCGATCAACAATATGTCATTCACATATACTTATCAGAAATGCTGTAATGCTCCCACTCACTTTGTTGTAAATACAGGCTTCACCGCAAGTCTGTATAAAACTTGTATGCTTTTGTCGGAGTAATGGGCCACGGGTAGGCTAACCCGAGGCCCAGAACCTTTCAAGGCATCGGGGCAGGCTGCGCCCATCAAGACCCCAGGACAAAGAGCCACCTTCTGAGGAGTCGGCGGCAAGGCCACCGACTAGCCACTCGCGGCCGAGTCCCAGGGACGACTTCAGGACAAACCAACTCCTGACTGATGACTTCCCAAGAAGCCGCCTTGGGGAGTCGGCCCGCGGCTCCAGCAAAATCCCATGTCCTCATCAAGAGGGACAGGACAGGGGAGTGGCTACAGTGAAGACTGCTCCAACCCCTTTCCAAAGGCAAGCATGGTCACAGTACGCTGTACTCGCGGAGATCTCTGTGCGGCGTGGCACTGTTGCCATGCTGGCCCTGACATCGGCACCTATGGACCGAATCCTGCGCCCACGACGGCTTATCTGTACAACCTTTGGGTGGCGGGTCCCATCGGCCAGCGGGATCCCAGAAGACAGCAAGTGCACCACAAGTCGGACCCGTCGGGAGTCGGCCCCCGAGAGTTGGCCGGCTCCTCCCCCGGGGCCCACGCGCCATTAACCAGATGTGACGGAGAGTGGCAATAGTGAACGCCCGCCAGGCGGCGGGGCTGTTGCCACGACTCCATGACGAAGCCCGCGTCATTAGAAGCACGGCTACAGTAATCAGTAGCCGGCAAGACCCGCCCGCGGCGGACGCGGCCTGTCGGCTCCATACCGGGCCAGTCGGCGGGCCCCAGCAGTCGGCGGAGAAGACGGAGGCCGGAGGCACTGACGGCTGGGCCCGCGTCCAGCCGGATTAACATTGTACCCCTGGGGGGTAGGCCTATATAAACCCCCCAGGGCACCCATGCAAAGGGTTGGAATCCATTAGCACTAGACCAGACCATACAGGAA